GAAGGGAACACTAACATTGAATGACCGCTTGTTGTCAGACACCACTAGCTCTTTTTATAAATGATTTCATCCTCTCAACTATCTTGTAAGATAATTGTTATCATCACTATTTTATAGGTGAGAAACGAAGGTATTGAGGATGGCTCTATAAAATATTTCCCATTGTGGTTGGGCATGGTGGCTGATGCCTGCAATCCCAGCACTTTGGGAGGCTGAGGCAGGTGGATCATTTGAAGTCAGGAGTTTGAGACCAGCCTGGCCAACGTGGTGAAACTCCACCTCTACTAAAAATACAAATTAGCCGGGCATGGTGGCGCATGCCTCTAGTCCCAGCTACTTGGGAAGCTGAGGCAGGAGAACTGCTTGAACCTGGGAGTTGAAGGTTGAAGTGAGCTGAGATCATGCCACTGTACTCCAGCCTGGGTGATGGAAAAACAAAAAAAAAATTCTCATTGTGAATGTTGGCCCAGCAGAAACGCTCCACCTTGAGAATGGGATTGGGAATGAAGGTGAGTTGGTTTCCTAGCTTTCAGCCCTTGTCCTTGGAATATAAGCCTCAGGGATAAAGCTGTAATGGAACACCCAGTACCACCCTAGAGGCAGTGGAGGCCTCTCAAAGGTAGCCAAGGACACAGCTTCCCTCCCTGCTGGGTAGAGGGAGAAGCAAGGAGGGAAGCCTTTGACAGAGGGTTTGCTATCAGGACTTTCATAGGAGAAACGCTTGTATTCAGGCAGCATGCAATATAGGCTTGATATTTGATGAAAATCCACTCTGTGCTAAGCACTCTTCACTTTTTCTTATTCATCTTAAGCAGTTCTCCCAATCTTGTAAGGGAGATGTTATCTTTGTTTTAGAAATGACAAAAATGACTATCCAAGAAGAAGTTGTATGAATAAGCCAGGCATGGTGGCTCATGCTTGTAATTCCAGCACTTCGGGAGCCCAAGGCAGGAGGACTGTTTCAGGCCAGGAGTTTGAGACCAGCCTCGGCACTATAGTGAGACCCTTTCTCTACAAAAAAAATTTAAAAATTTGCCAAGTACAGTGATGCATGCCTATAGTCCTAACTACTTGGGAGGTTGAGGTAGGAGGATCTTGAGCCCAGAAGTTGAAGGTTACAGTGAGCTATGATTATACCACTGCACTCCAGCCTAGTGACAGAGCAAGACCCTGTCTCTAAAATAAATAAATAAAAATTTAAAAACTGCTTTTTGCTCAGACCCCATCCTCAGAGCACTAGAATGTCAGAGCCAGAAGGGACTTTGGAAATTATCAGTTATCTATTAAGATGAAGAAATTTGAAGCCCAAAGAAAATAAATGACCTGCCCATGACTAAGGTCACCCTAGTTAATTAGGTCAACTAAGGAGGCTTTGGGTAAGGCCCTAGGTATTTTCAGCCCTGGCCTTCTGGGTCTCATTTATTGGCAGTGTCTGTAGAGAGCCAGTTCTTTCCAGTTGTTAGACTAGGTGATATATTGAGTCTGCTTCCACTTCTGTACCCACCTCAGAATTTAGATTACTGTTTCATGTTGTATTAGTCCATTTTCATGCTGCTGATAAAGACATACCCAAGACTGGGTAATTTATAAAAGAAAGAGATTTAATTATCTCCACCTGGTCCCTCCTACGGCACATGGGGATTATGGGAGCTACAAATCAAGATGAGATTTGGGTGGGGACACAGCCAAACCATATCACATGTCTACTTTGGATATCCTGTTTATTCTGAAAAAAAACCCTCAATCTAAGACACCCCCACACACACAAGAAGAGCCCAAGATTGATTCTGACTCACAAGGGTTTGAGTGGAACGAGAACATCCCAGGAAATCCTCCCAATGCCAGTGAACAGTGACATTTTAGGGACTGTTGAGCTTTCTTTGCTTTTGAATGTGCCCTCTCTGTGTATATCACTCCTAGACACGCCTTAGGCCCCACCTTGTTTCTCAGGCTCCCCTCTAGCATTCAAATGCCCTGAAGAGTCTGACCCTAGGAATTTAAGTGGGAAATATCCTCAAGGTTCCCTTTTTCAGCCTGATGCAAAAGGAAGTCTATTTGAGAACTCTGTCCCCTGGGAAAGAATCAAGCAACTATTAAGCTGTTTCCCATCCAGACAGTAGGAAAGGGTTAACTGCTTCTCTCGGGTCCTAAGCAAAGTCTGTCCCCTACCAGTTCCCATAACCGGGTTTCCTGAAATGGAGCAGGTCCCAGGTGCCTCTCCACTAATCACATCCTTGAAAATGGGGCCGTGAGGCTCAGATTAGCTCATCCCTTCACCTTCTTGAGGCCTTCTCCACCTGGAGCACAGAATCTGGGGCAGCTTCACCAATCATTTCCCTCTGCTTTCTTGTCAGGGGTCAGACAGGGATGTTCTAGCAGAGGAATATTATTAGGCTAATGGGGGCAATTAGAGACCAAAGTGGTGCTGACTTTTGTGCAATTCTTGGACTACAGCATCTGTTCTTCCTCTTTCTAAGACTTAGAAGAAAGGGGACATTCTTTTCCTAGGATGATACCAAAGTTTGTATAACTAGAGTATTTCCTTCTTCACCCGCATTCCGCATTTTCTTCCTCTCCTTAGAATAACTGACTATGAAACTGGCTAACTTCCTGTTTTTCCTGGCCAATTCACCCTTTGCACAAAGCCTGGTCTCTCATCCACCAGTAGCAGGTGCCGGGCCAGCCCAGGAGATTTCATTCCTTTCCTATTATTGTCCAATTTTTCCTCTGCCTAGATAGCCAATAAAATCTACATCACAAAGTGGTTCTTCCCCTCTGTAACTGGCTTTTTTTTTTTTTGAGAAGGAGTCTTGCTCTGGTTGCCCAGACTGGAGTGCAGTGGCACGATCTCAGCTCACTGCAACCTCCA